GTAAATGGGCCCGTCATACTTTTGTAGGAGAGCCGGGTCGAGTCCGAGGCTCTCAAAGCAATGGTAATACATTATATCTGGAGCACTGCCGGTATCGATGAGCGCTCGCTGGACCTCACAGTTGTTGATGATGACCGAGGTGACTAATGGGTCGTTATGGGGCGTGACAACCCCTTCGAAGTCAGCCGAAGTGAATGTCACAGACTGATTTTTCCAATCCTCCTCGTCAATCTTTCTTTTCTGAGCTGTGTTGTGGTGTTTAACCTCCCTCACGTACAGCTTCTGCTGCTTGGAGCTTGTGCCTCCTGCTTCGGGCCCACCAGTTATCATGTGAATGACTCTAGATGGGGGTGGCAGAGGTGGCGGTGCTTGTTGGTACCCTACCCCATCTCTGCTATTTGGTGCTCGGGACCCCTGGGCTTGTCCCTGTTCTTTGACAAACTTTGGCAAATCTCTGTTCTGGATGTACTCATTCAACATCCCTTTCTGGGCCAAACTTTCCAGCTCGGACTTCAAACTTTTGCACTCTTCCGTGGTATGTCCATGGTCTTGATGAAAGTCACAGTATCTGGTGTGGTCTCTGCTTGCCGCTGGGCTTTGTATGGGGTTTGGTCTCCTCATCTCCATCTTATTCTTAATTTGCATGAGAATTTGCGACCTCGGAATTGTGAAGGAGGTCCATGAGGGCAGCGCAGGCCGCATTTGCGGGGTGCTGGAGTTGGGCCTGTCTAGCTTAGGAACCGAAATTGGGCCTCGGTTCTGTGTGGGTTTGAACTTCTTCCTGCTCTAGCTTTCATCTCTCCAGGTGGGGGTTCTAGCTTCTTTGGGGGGCTGGGGTTTAGAGAGGACGTACTCCTCGGCCTTAATGAATTTGAGGGATCTCTGGTTGACTTCGTCAAAAGTGGTTGGGGTGTTCTTGATCAAGTTATCTCGAAACCGATCATGGTTGAGGCCTTGTATCACAGCAGTTACTCCCACTGCTTCATCGAAGGCATTGACCTCCAGCATGGCGTCATTGAACCTGTTCATGTAGTTCTTCAAAGATTCGCCTTCTCTTTGTGTTATGCGCATGAGCTCGGGTGTCGTCTTTTTGATCAACCTTCTGCTTGAGAATTTGGTGGCAAAGGAGGTGGCTAGCTCGGCATACGCATTAATCGAGTTCGGACGTAGGGTGTAGTACCAGGTCAGGGCATTGCCGCGCAATGTGGAAGGGAACATTTTGCACATAAGTGCGTCTGAGGCGTTTTGGGCCTGCATGATGGAGAAAAATGCATGTAAATGGTCATCAAGATCTTTAGTGCCGTCATACGTTTCAAACTGCGGCATCCTGAAGCCGGGTGGATATGGCTCTTGGGTGATTTTGGTATTGAGGGGAGTGGGGATAGAGGTTGATATAGGTGGAATCTGCAGTTGTGGATTTCTGTTCTCGGTTAACAGCTTTTCTAGGTTATCTAGCCTCTTTGAGACATCTGAGGCACCTGATTGAGGTGGGTTTTGTGGATGGGGTGGTATGTGAGACTGTGCTTGAGAAGCGGTCGGGGCGACACTGCGGACCGGGGAGTTAGCAGGCTGTTGAACTGGTTGGGGAGCCACGGGGGGGGCTGGGTTCAACAAGTGAATGAGTGGGTCAACGGGGTTATCTCTGGCTAACAGCTGAGCAAGTACTAGCTGGAAGACCCCGAATTGTTGTTGCATGGCATTGAGTTGAGCGGTCACAGGGTCGCTTGCTACAGCGTCGGGATATTGTGGATTATGTTCCCCAACTCCCTCCGTCTGCTGATGTTGGGGGGCTACAACCGGTGCATTCTGTGACACGGGGTTGACACTTGGGGGCTGGCCTCTTCCTTGGCCTCGGGGAGGACTCTCACGTTGGGTTGCTCGTGTGTGTACCATCTTAACTTCTGATGATGACTTTTGTTTGGTTTCCCACAGACGGCGCCAATGTAGTTGCTGAATATCCTTGGGCTCCTGCTTCAAGCTGATTCTTCTTCAAGTGGTCCTGCAAGATCTCGAGGTTGGTCCTCGGGGAGAAACTCCGATGCTTAAGTCAGTATTTTTTTTTTATCCTGTTTTTCTTTTTGTTCCGCCTATTTATCAAACCTTACCTCGTGGGCTTTGTCCATCTTGGCAATGCACCCACGTGGCTCGTCCGCACCCACGTGGCTTAGTCAATCCAATAATGGTGACATAGTGCGCCTGACGGAGTAGACGTTTTAGGTGGATGTAACGTGCCTTAACGGGGTAACTGCATTAAATGCGCGTGGTGCATTCTGACGGAGCAGGTCCCTTGAGAGAGGTGTTCCGGTAAGGATGAATGATCAGGTGAGGGCGCGCCTACTGTGGCTGCCATACTCTCGGCGAAATGCCGAGGTGCGGCAAGCTCTGAGTTCCGCAACCGAAGTGCGGTGATCT